CCCGAGCCGCGGGGCCGCCCGCCGGGTTCTTTGCCCGGGTAAAGGTTAAAGGTAAAGGTAAAGGTAAAGGTAAAGGTAAAGGTAAAGGTAAAGGTAAAGGTAAAGGTAAAGGTAAAGGTGGGGAAGAGCCTCCACAAGCTTCACTTCCCGGTTTTAACGTCTAGCTTTAGACCATTACTTGATCTGCCCGACGCGCCAAGTGCAGTACCCCCCACTAGTAGTGAATGGGTCCCGGGGAGGCCTGTGCCGAAGCCTTGGCGATTCTATTAGGCGTTCCCGAAGGAATTGGCTTGGATTGGCGCTGAGCTTGCTTGTGTGGGCTTAAAGTCTGGTAAAGCAAGAACTAGCTTGCAACATAGACTCCCCGCCGAAACGGGACGGGAACCGGGCGAAAGCAGAGAAAGCAATAAAACAGGGGTGGAGCAAGGCGACATGCAACGCAAGCAGCTGACAGGGCACGCATCGAAACGTGTGTATGACTGGCAAAGTGGCATGGCGCATTGGGGAGAAACGCAACGGTACGGGAGCATGGGCTGGCCAAACGGCAGTGCGGAACGCTAGGTCACTAGAAAAGCAGGGAAAGGCGCACTATGTATGCAATGAGGGCAGCCCCGGCTCGGGGCCGTTGAGAAAGCAGTGGGCGGGAGGGGGGAGGCCCCGGTGTGGGCGGGCCCCATCGAGGGGGGATGGGGCGCGCAAGCGGCCAGATGGGGCGGGGCGCGGGCGGCAGTAGAGTCCTGCGGCTGGGTGGGATATAGGGCAATGAGCGTTGAGCAGTGTGCGATGAGCAATGAGCAATGAGCAGTGAGCAGCCCCTCCCGAAACAAAGTGAAGCGCAGGACGGGGTCCGGTGGATGGGAGGCAAGGAAGCGCGGGGGGTTGCCACGTGCGCTACCGCCGCCGCCGCAGGCAGCACCCCTGCGGCGGCGGCAGCGGCAGCAAGCCGTGGACCCAAACGCCGTGCCGCCGCCGCCGCAGGCAGCACCCCTGCGACGGCGGCGGCAGCAAGCCGTGGACCGAAACGCCGTGCCGCCGAGTCCCGTGGCTGTGGCCGTGGGCTTCTGGCAGGAAACTACGGCCGCAGCTCGGTGGCTCGGGGGCGTCGCAGCGTGCCGCCGCCGCCGCCGCGCTGCCCCCCGGGCACGGCGGCGGCGGCAGCAAGCTTGGGCCCAAACGCCGTGCCGCCGAGTCCCGTGGCTGCGGCCGTAGACTGTGGGCCGGAAACTGCGGCCGCAGCTCGGCGGCACGCGGTTCTGTTCAAGTCGCCAAGCGTGCAGCAGCGCCGAACCACGCTTCCCGGCCTCGGCGCATGCCTTCAGGGGCCCCCTATCGCTGGGCGCACCCCTCCAACACCGAACATGCGCCCGGGGGGGAGGGCGGCCCGGGCTGCCCAGGCCAAAGTGGGCCGCCCTCGAGCAAGAGGCGGCCGGTCTGTGTGCTGAATGAATGAATGAGCCGGTCACGCCGGCGTGCCCGGCGCGGAGCTCAGCACCTCCAGCTGCTGCTGACGCTGTGCCTGCTGCCTCGCCAACTTGTCCTCCACGTCCCGCAGGTACTGCTGCAGACCGCCCAGCTTCCTGCCATCTGCCTGGCCGTCCCCAGCTGCACCCTGGCCGCCTCCAGCTCCTGGCTCTTCTCCCGCAGCTCCTCACGCAGGAGGCGCACCTGCAGGGTGGGGGCGCCGTCACGCAGTGGCGAGAGAGCTGGGGCGGGGCCTCTGCATTGGGTACACGCACGGCGGGCTGCTGCCCTGAGAGTGTTGGGAGGCACGGCTCAGTGACGTGTGGCAAGAACCGTGCTCCTTGGCCCACACATGCACACCACCATTGCCTGCCCACACACGCGCACCATGGCGGCCGCTGCCACCCACCTCCTCTTCCTTGGCAGCCGCCTGCAGCGCCGGCCGCCGCAGGGAATCCACACGTGCCTGCAGCGCCCCGGCCAGCTCCACAGCATTGCTGCAGGCGGAAGCCAGTCGCGGCCACCGTGCAGGCAGCGCCGAGGCTTGAAACTCGCAGGCAGCTTGGCAGGGCATGCCGCCTGATGTCAGCAGCAGCCCTGGCGGCCAGGTGAGCCGTGTCAAATCGCGAAGGCCCCATCCTCCAGATGCCCGCCCACCCCACTGCCTCTGCCCGCTCCGCGTGCAGCCTCACCCACGGTCCACCGCTCGCTCGCCGTAGCCGTCCAGGGCGTCCTGGTCAGCGGACAGGTCTGCGGCGCCAGACGGCACCGCCGCCGCATTGAGCGCATTGTTCAGGATGCCGGCCAGGCGCTGCGGGGCGGGTGGCGGGTGGCGGGTGGCACAGGAACACGGTAACCAAAGAGGCGGTAGGAAGAGAACGAGCGCTGGCAACCGCGTCAGTTCTTTCTTCAGCAACAGGAGGCTGTGGTCGTGGCCCGAGGGCGCAGACTTGCCTGCTCCTTCCGCTGCCACTCCTCCCGCTGGCGGTGCAGCTCGGCCTCGAGCTGGCTGCAGCTGCCATCAGCGCCAGGGCTGCCAGGGCTGCTGTCGTCGGCGCTCGACTCCTGCGCGGAGCCCTCTGCCGGCGGCGTAGAGTCCTCAGCCTCGGTGCCAGAGCTGCCGGTGCCAGGTGCTTGGGCCGCCGCCCTGGCAGACTGCTTGAGCTCTCGCAGCTTCTGCAGGACCTGCGGCGGCCAATGGGGGCACCCAGAAGTCAGCTGGAGTGTGCGCCAGGAAGGGGCGAGGCGCTGACTTGGCCAACAGGCCAGCAGGCGGCTGGCCAGGCATGCTGGCCCACCCGCTCCGCCTCCTGCACCGCCTGGTTCCTCTCCCGCTTGGCCTGGCTGCAGGGCACAGTGGCAGAGGCAGAGCGGTGGAGCTCTGGCATGCACAGCAGGAAGTGAGAGCCCTCAGGCAGCACCAGACGGCTGGCTCAGATCACGCCAAGCAGCAGCCCCCGCTTGCTTGAGCTGCTCCGCCGCGGCGTCCAGCCGCTGCTTGGCGGCTCGATCGTGGTCCAGCAGCCGGTGGCGCAGCTCCTGGAAGCGGCGCACCAGCGGCGCCAGCACCTGCGGCACAGCGGCAATGGCGACGTGGGGCCTTGGGGGCCGCTGAGGCGGGGTGGGGGAGGCGAGGGGGTGCTGCGTGCGGGCTGCACTAGCCAGAGCAAAGGCTGCCAGCCCCGGCTGCTCAGGCTGGCTGCCCCACCTGCCAGATGGTGAGAAAGTAGGAGGTGAGCCCGCCCAGGGCGGCCCACACCAGCCGCGCCTCCGCGGCCACCATGCCCGCGGCCGCCGCCGCGGCACAGCCCAGCATGGGCAGCCAGGTCAGCAGCGGCGCCTCGCGAGCCAGGTACCCCACAGCCGTCCTGCTGTGCCTCACCGCAGACGTGGAGGCCGCCAGCGCTGCCGTGGCGGCGGCAGCCACCTCCCTGTCCGTGGGCTTGCCATGCTCCCGCAGCGCATCTGCCAGCGGCTGCGGCAGCCCCGCGCAGCGGGGTGAGAGGGAGGCGCGCCGGCCGCCCCCGCCGGTGGGGCAGCTGGCCCTGCCGTGACTGCGGCTGACCCCATCGGGGCGCAGGCGGAGGCTGGAGGGTGCTGCCTGCCTGTCGCTGCTCGGAAAGGTTCGCAGGGCAGGGGCACGGGCCTTGGCTGCCCCCACACTGAGCTACATGGTTGTGGAATGCCCCTCCTCAGCCACAGGGAGGCCCTCCAAGGTTATCTCTGGCTATCTGGGCCACTGTGGTGAGCCTTAAAGGAGGGGGTGGAAAGGCGCAGCGTGGCGCCATGTGCCTCTGAGTTTCGTGGAGGCTTCGATTGAATCAGAAACAGAACAAGGCGGGAGAAGAGAGCAAGAGGGCAAAGCAGGGGAAGACACAGGCAGGCAAGTACATCACAAGGCATGTGGGCGGAGCGGCCGGGCGGCACGGCGCCCCGCCTCGGCAGCGGGGCGAAAGCTGCCTTCACCCCAGCGCCATCTTCTCCGCCTTGGCCTTCTTGCCCGCCTTGCCCGCCTTGGCCTTGACCTTGACGCCGCTGGCCTTGACGCGCGCGCCGCCGCCCACGCCCACCTTGCGCTGCGCCCGCCGCTCGCCCTCGTCCACGCCGCCGCCGCCGTCCTGCTGCTGCTGCTGCTGCTGGTCTGCATCTGCTCCGGGCCCCTCCATGTCCATCATCAGCTCCTTCATCGCCTCCTCCGCTGCCAGCACCTCCTTGATCTTGCGCTTGCTCTCCGCATCCGTCACCTTGATGCCCTGCGGGAGGCGGCACGCCAGGCGGGCATGCGTCAGGCCTGGCTGGATGAGGCAGGGCTGGATGGGGCTGCGCAGGGAGCTGGAGAGGGCGGGGCGCGGGCTGCGCAGGCGTGCTGCGCGGGCACGGCGGGCCCCGCCAGGCCGTGGCGCCCGGCCGGGGCCTGCCGCCTCCCGCGCATCGTGCGGCACGCCGCTCACCCGCACCACCACGTGTTTCTTAATGCGCAGGCCCTTTTTCTGCTTCTTCTTTAGCTTCTTGGGAGCCGCCACGCCCTTGACGGCCGCCTCGGCGATGCGCTGCTGCTTCTTGGCCAGCTTGGCATCCCGCTTGTCCGCCTCCTCCTTCTCCCGCTGCACCCGCGCGGCGTGCATGTTGCGCCGTGTGTTCTGATTGTTCTTCTTGCTCATGGCTGCTGGAACACTGGGCACTCCCCCCCTGCACGGCCACACAAAGGCGTTGCAGCGGTCGCGCAGGCAGTGACACAGGCAGCGGCGGCATGCGTTGGCGGCGGCGGGCAGGAGGACGACATGCACGCTGCAGCGGCTCACCCTGCAGCCGCTTCGCTTGCACGCTTGCGGGGCTTGGCTGTATATATGCCGCGCCCGCTGCTGGTGCTAGTCAAGTCAGTGTGTGGCGGCGGCGGTGGTGCAGGTGGAGCGAGACCTTGGAGCACAATCTAGCAGCTTGGCACAACGATGGAGCTCCGATCCAGTACAGGCGCGGGGCACGTGGACAAGAACGGGCAGACTTTGCCCAGCGCTGCAAGCTCTAGCCCCTTTCACAGCATGGCTCTTCGAAGGCGCCGCCAGCTTCAGCTGGAGCAGCATTTTGAAACCGGTGCCTCCACGATCGGCTCGCTCCCAGACGACCTGCTGGCCAAATGCTTCTCCCAGCTCGAGCAGGAGGATCTGTGAGTAGCTTGGACCGCCCACACTTGGCGGCGCTGCGGCACGCGAGGGAGCAGAGCCTGGCCGCGGGCTCCGCAGCACCCGCCTTCCGGCGACCAACCCGCCGCCGTCGCCACCCACGCTTGCGCACCGACCCTGCCTGCGCCTGCAGGCTGTGCAGGGCGGCCCTGGTGTGCCGCCGCTGGTTTGAGATCAGCACCAGGCCGGAGCTGGTGCGACAAGTGGAGTTCAGCAGCTACGGCAGGGCCGGGGCCGCCACGTTGCGTGCCGCCCAGGCGCTGCTGTTGTGGCTGCATCAGCATGGCCAGGCGGTGGGCAGGCTGAAAGTGGCCATGGGACTCGAGAACCTGAGCGAAACTGAGCTTGCAGAGCTGATGTCCCTGCTGGACAGCTGGTTGGCAGTTTGCGGCGGGCGGCTGGAGCGGCTGGATGTGCTGTTTGAGGAGAACGTCACGGTCGGAGGTTGGATCGCGGCCATGCCCCGCCTGACGGATCTCACGCTTGCACCCCTGCTGACGCTGACGACGTGGGTCACCCTGGAGCGCCTCACCTCGCTGCAGCGCCTGCATCTGGGCGCTTATGAGTGGGAGCTGGACACCGCGGTATCGCTGCCCGCCTCGCTCACGTGCCTGCGCATTGAGTCACATACGACGCCGGAAATGCCGCACCAGGTGAGAATGCCCGGGGCAGACCCAGGTAAATGTGTCACAATGAGATTGCAGCCATGGATGTGCCAAGCTCTAGGACTCTGTAGTATTGTTGCCTGAATGCAACCAATTGCAAGCCTGTCGCTCGCCTTGCTGCAGCTGGCTGCTGCCTCTCTGAGCAACCTGCGCAGCCTCCAGTTTTTCAGCGTTGGCTACACCTCTGCCAGCATGGCCGGCCTGACACAGCTCAGTGCGCTGCAACATGCAGCCTTCGAAGCGTGCGAACTGCCCAGCACGCTGGCAGAGATGACTGGGTTGGAGGTGCTTGAGATTGATTGCCGCATGGAGCCTGCCGGCGCATTCACTGCCAGCCTTGACAGCGCCCTTGCGCAGCTCACGCAGCTGACAGGGCTGTGCCTGGACTGGATGCCAGCTGCGTCCGCAGCCCTACCATCTCTGGCGGCCCTGAGCCAGCTGAACTGGCTCTACCTGCGGCCAATGGCGGCAATCCAAGCGCCACCAACTGCAGAAGAGGCGGAGCTGCTGCGCAGTGCCACACTGCCCATCGGGCCCTGGCAGCGCAGCCTGCAGCAGTTGGTGACGACTTTCCCGCTGGTGCGGCACAGCCTGCCATTCCTGGGCGGTGCCGAGCAGCTGCAGCGCATCACCTTCATGCAGCCGCCGGCCAGCCAGCGCGGCGGCGAAGCGGAGTGGTGTGCGTTTTGGCAGTGGGCGGAGCACCACGCTCCGCTACAGCATGTAGCCATTGCGACAGCCGGTGACCCATCTGCAGTTGATGCGGCTTCAGTCGATGCGGCTTTGATGCAAGCCACGCTGCAGCTCAAGGACCGGCGCCCAGGGCTGCGGGTTACCACACCCAGCCCGTACTACCTCAAGCATGATCTGGTGTCTGAGTGGCGTTGTTTCGACCTCGATCCCTATACCTCTGTCCCTGCTTTCTTCACAGTTCTGTCCTTGCGTGCCCCCAGGTGCCAGCACTCCAGCCTTTGCCATTGTACGCTGGCCGTATACATTGTCCTGCGACATACCCATAAGATACGGCCTGCAAATGTGAATGTAATTGTATTGTGTTGTACCAATCTGCAGGGAGCAAGCCCACTCTGCCGGCCGAGCACGTCCCTTGCAGAGCCTTGCATGGGCAGAACGCCTGGGCAGAGCGGGCATGTGTTCACACCAGCGGGCCGGTATGTGCCATCCAGCCCGGTGTGTGCCTGGATTGTGCGTGATCGGTCACAAGTGATGATGAACGAAAATTGAGTTTGCAGTGTGCCTAGATCGTTATCTTTGGTGCATGAAAAGCACACACAAGGCAGGAGCAGTGGCGGCAGGAACGCTCACAGCGAGGCTCTCAAGCTAGCAGGCAGGCAGCAGGGCAGGGCAGGTGAGCAGGGCCGCAGAGGAGGCCGGGCAGTACGGTACAGGAAAGATCATAGCAGCTACAAAACAGGTGCATGCATTCGTTGCGCGGTTGGGCGTGCTGGGCGGTTCGCCAGCCGGGGCCGCGCCTCAGCGCGTCATGGGCAGCCGCTTGCTGACCTTCTTGGTGCTGGTGGCGCGGGGGTCGTACTCCTCGCCCGAGTCCCCAGAATCCTCCTCCTCCCCATCACTGCCCACCACCCTGCGCTTCTTTCTACCCCGGCCGCCCCCGGTGGTGCGCCCGCCGCGCCCGCCGCGGCCGGTGGACCGTCCTCCCCGCCCGCCGCGCCCTCCCCGCCCGCGCCCGCGCCCGCCGCGCCCCGTGCCCGCGGGCGCCTGCCCCAGCCCCTCCATCCAGCCGGGGGTTAGGTCGTCGCCGGGCTCGTCGCCGGGAGACGCCACGCCGTCGCCGCCGCCGCCCTCGCTGCTGCCTGGCGCCTCGGGCTCCTCCGAGCCGCCCCGCTGGCCCGCCTTGCGCCCGCCGCCAGCCACCAGGTGGCCATAGTCGGCTGCATCGCGCTTCATCAGCTGCTTGAAGAGCTGCGGGGCGCGGCCGGGGCAGGCCACAGCCGGGGGTCGTTCGGTCGGGAGGCGCAGCATGCACCGGGGGCAAAGGCAGTGAGCCACCTCTGCCGCTTGTACCGCCGCTGCCGTCGCCGACCCGTACCGCCCCCGCCCCCACCTTGTACTGCGCCCTCATCGCCTCGGGGTCCTTGTGCGCCGCAAGGTCCAGCTTGTCCAGGTAGGTGGGCACCCCCGCCAGCGCAGACACAGCCACCTTCTCCTCGGCCTTGCGCTTCTCCCCCGCTGCGGCGTCGGCAGGTGGGGGCCGAGGGGGAGGGCTGGCTCAGCAAAAGAGGCGGCGGCCCGGCAGGCCCGCGCTGCCACCTGCTGCAGCTAGGCCCAGGCCCGCAGCATAGCAGCACCCCTCCACACCCCTCCACACACACACACACACACACACACCACCACCACCACCACCACCTCTTACACACACCCGCACACCACCGGCCGCAGCCCACCTGTGGCGAAGGCCACGATGCGCTCGCTGTTCACGCTGTAGGCCGTCTTCAGGAACTCCTTGAGCAGCAGCAGCATGGAGAGCGCCAGGCTGGCCTTGCACTGCGCCATGACGACAGCGCTGGATGGGGCAGCGCTTGGCGGCGGCGGCGCGTCCGCGGCAGCGCCGGCGCCCGCGCTAGCCGCCGGGGCCACGGGAGCCTGCAGCGAGGCGGGCGTAGAGCAGGAGGAGGTGGAAGCAGGCAGCCAGCCTCAACCTCAGCCAGGCCGCAGGCACCTGCGCTGCAAGCCTCAGAACACACATCACCACCACCAGTACCACCAGTACCACCACCCCCACATGCTCCACACCCCCACCCGCTCACCGCGCTGCCGTACAGCGAGCGCTTGAGCTCCTCCTTGACCGCTTCCCCGCTGCGGCACACGATGCTGTTGATCTCCTGCGCGCACCGTCAGCACAGCATGCTCAGCAGGGCACAGCATGCTCATCATGATGCAGCAGGCTCAGCAGGCTCGGCACAGCACTGTGCACCATGCACTGCGCGCAGCAGCCGGCCCAGTCCTGGACAGCCGCCGAGCCGGCCTGCCCGCCACGGCTTGCCGCAGGCAGCTTGGCCCCACAGGCCGCTCCCCGCAGCCCACCCACCCACCCACCTGCACCACCATGCACGGCTCGTCGCCGCGCCGGTAGGGCAGCCCCGCCACGCAGTCGGCGCAGAAGGCGAGCAGGCTCAGGTCGGCCTCTGCCGCGCCGGCAGACACCAGGCACGAGGCGGCGCGCAGGCGCTTGAGCAGGCCGCGCAGGAAGTCGACCTTCAGCTGGAACTTGGGTTGGATGAGGTGCGTGTAGACGGCGGCCAGACCGGCCACCGCCTGAGCAGGGGCGCCCCCCGCCCAGCCGCGCGGCCCCTCGCCGCTGGCCTGCGCGGGCAGGCGGCCGGGAGGGAAGAGGTGGCGGGGAGGGGAGCAGGGGATGATGTCGGGCTCAGCTGCTTGGGGGCGGCACAGGCCTCTGAGCCGAGGGGCAGGCGCATCAGCGGGCGGCAGGGCAGCAGGAGCATGGCTGCAGGCGCAGCAGCATAGCCGCCACAACCCACCCCAAATCGCGCCACCACCACCGCCACTCCACACACACACACACACGCTGCACACACACACCACCAGCCCCACCTGCGCCAGCGCTGCCCTGAACTGGTACGCCCTCACCACCCCGCCGCACAGCCGGTCTGCGTCGAGGTAGCGTGGGTGCTTGTCGCACAGCTGGCGCAGCAGGCGCAGCGCGCGGCCCCGCACATCCTCCAGAGGGTCTGTGGCCAGAGCCATGAGCGGCGCCACCGCCGTCCAAGGGCCCACCAGGCCGCCGCTGCAAGGGGGTGGGTGGGCGAGGCGGCGGGGCGTGGGCGAGCGCGTGTGAGGCAAAGGTGGAGGGCAGGGCGAGCGGGGGAGGCGGTGGCAATGAGGGACGACGGCGCACCAGCCGGCATGCCGTGATACATCAATAGCAGGTGGCTCGGCAGGGCCGCCCACACAGGCTCCCCACCCGCTCTGTCCTCGGCCAGGCCCCACCCCACCCACTCGTTCAACCGCCACCCATCCACACACACACTCACCGCAGCACTATCTCCATGAGCTCCACCACCCGTCGCCGCACGTGGGTGCCTGGCGCCAGCTCAGCGCCGCCTGCGGAGCCGGGCGGGCTGAGGGAGGAGGCGGGGGCCCCCGCCGCCGTGTCTGTGGCCAGTACCAGCACCGCGTCCCAGTTGTCCTGCAGTATGCTGCTGCTCTGGCTCAGCGTGTCGCCCTCCCCGTTCTGAGTGGCCAGGGCCGCGTGCTCCGCCGCCTGCGCGGCCTCCTCGGCCGCCGCCGCCGCCGCCTCGCGGCCGCGCCGCTTGGCGGCGCCGCCGGCCACGGCGGGGAGGGCAGCGCCGCCGCCGGGCCCAGCGCCGCCGCCGTCTGCCTGCGCCGCCGTCATGTCTGCCTCGTCTGCCCTCAGCAGCTCTATGAGATTTGACAGGGCCTTGAGCTTGAGCAGCTCGGGGGCCCCGGGCTGCAGCGCCGCCTTTCATCACGCGGTTGGCTGGAGAGCGCTTGTCGACCATGAAGGAGGGGCGGGCGATGGTGAGCGCGCCCAGCGCGCCCAGCGCCGCCTCCGCCACCTGCGGGCGGCGCGCGGGCGGCGGCGGCGGGGAGCAGCCTGGTCGGCGCGCGGCAGCAGCAACGGGCCGCCATGCTGCTGCTCCGGTGCTGCCTGCTGCCTCTGCTTCGCGTGGCACCATGGCGGCGTGCGGGCGAGGCCCGCAGCCCACCCCTGTGCCCACCGCCTGCCACCACACCCACATACACACCCACAGCCAGGCACACCACCTACCTTGAGGTTGGCCTGCGCCGCGCCGCAGTGCTGCACAAAGATGCGCTGGCACTCGGCCATGGCCAGCGGCGGCCCTCCCGCCTCTGGCGCCGTCGCCTCCAGCACGTGCGCCCCCCGCCGGCACAGCTGGCCCAGGATGAACAGGAAGCGGCAGCGCAGCGCGGCCTGCTGCGCCGCCGCCTGAGGGTCGCCCATCGGCGGCGGCGGCGGCTCGCGCAGCCAGCAGGCGTAGACGGCGGCGGCGGCGGCCAGCTGGCGCGCCGCCGCGCCCTCCTTGGTCGCCAGCGTGGTCAGGCAGGAGCAGGCGGCGGCCAGCACTTGCACAAAGGGGTGCCTGTTGATGAGCTGGTGCAGGTCGGGGAGCAGCTCCGCCAGGGTGGCGCCCTCGCAGCGCGCCACCTGGCTCAGCACGCCGTCCAGGATGCTCAGCACGCACAGCAGCGACTCGGCGCCACGACGCCGCCCCGCCTCGCCGTCGCCGGCGTCTGCGGGGCGGGGTGGGGCGTGCGGCGTGTGGGAGGGAGGGGCAGGGTGGGAGGCTGGGGGGCCCGGCGCTGGGAGGCACCTTTCCTTGCTTGCTTGCGGGCATAGCAGGGAGCATGAGGTGTGGGCAGCCTCACCCTTAGCAACCTGCTGCCTCAGGCAACCCAAAACCAGCCCAGCCCTCCCAATGCAGCCTCCCCACCCACACCCACACCCACCCCACCAACCACAAATCGACACACACACACACACACCTCCTGCCGGCGCATGCTGCCCCCTCACCCGGCGAGACCTTGAGGTAGGGCGCCAGCGAGCGCACAAACTTGGCGCGGTCCTTGGGCGGCATGCACAGCTCCACATCCGTCACCACAAACGCGTGCAGCGACAGCAGGTGGCCAAACCCGGCCTGCTCTTCCGACTGCGGCGGCAGCAGCGGGTGGGGCGGGGCGGCGCTGGGGCGAGCGACAGCGGGCGCAGGACGGAGCGGCAGGCGACAGAGGGCGGCAACTGCAGCCTGGCGCTGCACTGCACACCGCCCATGTGGCGCCTTGTGGGAGCCCCATGCTTGGATGCCAGGCATTGCATCGCTGGGCTGGGGGGCGGGCCGCACACACACACTTCCCCCTACACACACTCTCTCTCACGCACACACACACACACCTGCGAGGTCTCCTGTGCGGTGAGGAAGAGGTCCAGCAGCGCCTCCGCCACACCGCGCCCGGCAGACCACTCCTTCTGCGGGCACTCGGGGTGGGCAGGCGCGGGCAGGCGTGGCGCGAGGCATGGGGCGAGCGAGCGGAGGCGCAGCACCGCTGGCATCGGCGGTGAAAAACAGGAAACAGGGAGGCCGCCGCCGCTGGCGCCCCGCCCGAGCAGAGCAGCACCGCAGCTGTGCGCATCGCATTCACTGGCTCCTTATGGGTGTAACAGACCGTAGCATTTGCTGGGCCCTTATGGGTGTAACAGACAGGCAGGCCGGCAGGCAGGCAGGCGGGCAGCGCACCCTGAGGTCGCCACGCGCGCCCACCCCGAGCGCCGCCCGCAGCACCGCCACCAGCGGGTGTGACTGGTCCAGGGGCAGGTGGATGGCGCGGCCGCCGGCCTCGTAGACGGCCAGCGCCACGTCAGCGAGCTGCTGCGCACGCTGCGCCGCGCTGCGCTCCACGGCGCGGCCCCCCTCCTCCCCCGCCTCCAGCCGAGGGGTGAACCACAGGCTGCGGCGGCGGGCGACGCGCGCTGGCTGGTGAGCAGGGCTGGGAGGGGAGGCGGGCGGGCGGGCAGGGGTGCGGCGCAGTGGGCCTGGGGGCCACGCTTTCTTCCCCTGCGCTTCCTTTCCTCCCGCACACCCTTGCCCACCTGTGGAACACCTTGGCCACCATGTCCTGGATGCTCTCCTCCGGGTCCCCGCTGCGCATCAGCACATGCTTGCACGCGTCTGCAGCCAAGGGAGGGCAGCCCGGGGCAAGACGGAGCTGAGCTGGCAGGCTGTTTTGGTCTGAATCGGTGCTGCTGGCGAGCACCACAGCCGGGGCAAGACGTATGAGTCTGGCCACAGCATGCAAACGATGGACTTTGCTGCCGACGAGTGCCGCGGCCCAGTGCCATCTGACCGCACCCAGGCCCGCCGGCCGGGCGCGCGCTCGCACCGGTGGCGCGCGGGAAGCCGGGGGCGCGTATGCAGCTGTCCCACAGTATCTTGATGGCGGCCTTGCGCACGCTGGTGCCCGGGTCGGTGGCGGCGCGGGCCAGCGTGCCAAACAGGCGCAGCGCCAGCGACTGGTTGGCCGCCGCGTGGCGCCCCAGCAGGCTCACCGCCGCCTCCCGCACGCTCACCGCCTCGTCCTGCACAGCACGTGTGTGTGTGTGTGTGTGTGTGTGTGTGTGTGCGCGCACGGGGCGATGCATGATGCGCCTAGGGCACGGCTGTGCTGAGATGGGGCGCCCGGCAGCAGGCCCCAGCCGGCGGCAGCAGCAGCAGCACCGCCCGCCGCCGCCACCCCGCCCTGCGCGCCCCGCCGCCATGGTGCACCCTGGCATGGCGCACACCAGCCGCCGCCACCGCCGCACCTGCAGCGCGCGTTCCATCGCCGCCTGCACGCTGGCAATGTCCAGCACGCGGGCGTCCGCCTGCACCACCTCTCCCAGCGCCTTGACCGCCTTGGAGCGGGTCGTGGGGGCCTGGGTGGCCGGGTTGAGGCACTCCAGCAGCCACTGCACCATGCTGCTGCGCGCGCGGCCCAGGCTGGACTGCAGGGGTGGATGGGGGCGGCGACGGGTCGGGTGCGGGAGGGTGGGGCGCGGGGCGTGGGGAGGGAAGGGCAGGAGGCATGAGAAGGCAGAGGGGGCAGGCGGCAGGCCGCCGCGCGAGCAGCCCGCCTCGGCTTGCCTGCACCACGAAGCGCATGAGGCGCTGCGCCTGCCCCGCATCCACCTCCACGTCAGCGACCAGCCCATCCAGCTCGTCGCGCTGCTGGCGGTACTGCAGGGCGGTACGGTGCCGTGCAGGGCGGCGACGCGGGTCACGCGCCTCAGCCTGAGCTCCACAGGCGCAGGCGCAGGACGCCGGCAGGAGCTGTTCCCTCACCGGAGTCGAGGCCCCTCCCCCATCCACACCAGCACACTCCTGAGCTTCTCCGAGCAGCACCCTGCCCAGCGCAGCCGCCACCCGCCCGCCCACCTGCACCAGCTTCTCCACCAGCTTCTCCGCAGCCGCCCCCTGCCGCTGCAGGTTGGTCACCTCCTCGGCAAACGCCTGGCACAGCATGAAGGCGCGGGCGGAGGCGGACGAGGCGTGGCCGCCGCGCCGCCGGTCGGCCAGGTACAGCAGCAGCAGGCGGGGCGCCTCCTCCCCCACGTCGCCAGACCCTGCAGGCGCGCGGCAGCAGAAGGGCACAGGGCGGGCGGGCAGGTCGCAGCACCCAGACAGCAAACAGCCAAGGAGGGGGGCGGCCCAGGGCCAGAGGGAGAGAGAGTGCCGCTGCAGGCTGGGCCTCCGGTCGCGCCTCCACCTCCCGGCACACACCCCACCGGGCACCCAACACACACACACACACACACCACAACCTCACCTCCCCCCTCCTGCGCCAGCGCGCGCAGCGCCTCCCCATCCTTCTGCACCTCCGCCTCGTCAGCGTACAGCTGCGCCGCCAGGCTGGCCAGCAGGTCCACGCAGTACTGCCGCACGTGCGGGTCGGGGGCGCGCAGCCCCCGCTCGCCCTGCAGCAGCGCCGCGAGGCGCAGCAGCAGGAAGGCGGCGGCGGGCCAGGCGGGCTGGTGCGCTGCCGCCAGCAGGTCACGCAGCAGGGAGGAGAGCAGGAGGCGGAAGTCGAGGTCGGTCTCGCTCTTCTGGGTGCGGGCGGCGGGCAGCCTGCAGGCGGGGAGCGAGGGCTGCCTTGACCTTGAGAGGCATGTGGGAGGGGTGGGCGGGGCATAGGATGCGTGCTGGGAGTGGTGGAAAGGGGCCTGCAGCTCCAGGGCAACGTAGCTCAGCCGTGCGGTGTCCTGCCCGCCAGCCGCCCCGCTGCCCCCGCCAGGCGCGCCTGTCGAGGCAGAGCGTCCAGAAGTAGTCTGCGCAGGTGGCGGCGCCCTGGTAGCAGTCTGCCAGGCTGGCGGGGTCGCAATCCATTGGGGGCAGGTCCACGCAGCCCTGCGGGGCGGGGCGGGGAAGAAAGGAGGGGCGGGGCGGCGGTTGTGGTTGTGGGGGAGTGAGGATGTGGTGATGGCAGGGAGTGCTGTTGGGGGCGAGGGAGGGCTAGCTGTGGGCAAAGGGCGAGGAGCAGGACAGGAAACGGCCCCGCTGGGCGCCCCTACACCCCCTTCCACACACACACACACACGCGCGCACACACAGGCAGGCAGGCAGCCCCCCCACCACCGGTACCTGGATCATCTGCAGCACCGCCGCCGTCAGCATCTGGATGCAGGTGCGGGCGTCCTCGGAGGCGGGGAAGTCGCGCGGCGCCCGCGGGCCGCCCGCCAGGTGCGGCATCACGTG